CTTTTTTATCTCTGCACAAAGACTCGCGCCGCCGCCGCTTATCGAGCGCCGTCGATTTATTAAAGCACACCATTACCGTGGCGCTACGACCGTGGCCAGCTCGGCCCGCGCTCTTACAGCCCTCCGCCCTCCGCCCTCCGGTCCCTTCTAAATCTCCAGCATAGTTAAGTTCTTATTATTTTTTAATATTTCCCTGGCCGCATTCTATAGTCTGAGGCTTGCCTTACGATCCTAGCTGACGCTCAGCCACCGCGAAGCTGACGCCGACCTCCCGCCTTCGAAACACGTCAAAAACAATTTTAAAAAATTGGAAATTGTTTATTTTTTTAATATCACAAGGTGGCAAACGAGCGAGCGGCCACCTGAATTCGCTGAAATAGCGTAGTGACCGTTGCCCATAGACATACGCAATTACATATGCGTTGTCTCCATTTAATCGACGGAGGAGAGCATGCACAGGAAGAAAATATTTTCCCTTTCCATGCATCCTCTCATCCGGAAAGTCCACTTCCACTTCCCTTCCTTTTCATATAAGTAAAGGGGGTGGGGGGAAAAAGGACTAAATTAGGCCTCCGGGACACACACTCAGACGAAACGCGGAATTGCTTCCACTTGACGCCTGTCTTCTGTGTGGTCGTGGTATTTCACCGGACCAATTCGTGCGAAAATGTTAAAGCGGGCTCTATCACTGTTAATCGTCAGTATCAGATGTACATCGTTTCCATGTTACATAATCTGCGGACATTCTCTTCTTGTTCTTCTTATGAAGTTCAATATCTTACACAGGAAATCTTCTCGATTTATAGATGTACGCACACAATATTTAATATATCAAATTTATATGAAGTGAAAATTAAAAGTTTAACGTGTGATAATGTGAATATACCTACCTGCACTTGAGACGAGCAGCTCTACCAACTTTATCTACTAGATACAGGAGTGGATAAAGTTTAGAAAGAACAATATTATGACTGTCATTGAGCCGAGTGTTTATGATGTTCACTGACAAGGGACTTAGGACATTTAGGATTTTAACTTTTCCCCTTTTTATCATGATTTATTATCATGCTTAATTTTATTTATTTTTGGTATATTTTAAAAGACATTTTTAATAACCTTAAGTTATATATTTATTTTTTAATGTATATAAGTAAAATTTAAGCTAAAATATCAAGATATACAAAACCTTATATGCGTACCCTACGTGTGTGGGATAAAGTTCTCGCTGAGATGATGATGATAAAGACTGGAGAAGTATAGCCAATTAAAAGAACTTAAAAGCTGAATGTGACATTCAGCGCATGCGCATGGCGCCGGCGACAACCGCTTTACTTAATAACTAATTATTGCACAATAACCGAGAACTTTATGAAGAAATCCTTAAAAAACAAAAACTATTAAGTACTTATATAAGAAAAGCATTAATGTAACGCAGTGAACACACGGCCTCGCCCTTTGGTACAAATTTATTATACATGAATAACTTTCCAATTGGATACAGATAATATATAAAATGCTTAAATATTTAAATATCGCGATGTGCCTGAGAATATAACGCGCCCGAAGGAAAAGCGACGCCGCCGCCAACATCAACCATCAACAACCAACCAAGATCATATTAAGTAATGTCCACTGTTTATCCTCTATTTAGTCAACTCAACTCAACTCAACTCAACTCAACCCCCGCAAAGAGGCTTCATTTTACTTAAACTCATCTTTATTGAAATTATTCATATATTTGAGAGTTAAATATTTTCGATGATTTTTATCGCGACATTATAAATTTTTGGTAAATCAATAAGACATTTATCGTCTCCCCGTGGCAGGCGCGGCGGCATTTGCCGACGGCACTCCTTAGTCAAATAATTATTCAGCCAAGACTTGAATTAATCTAATAACTTTTTAACATATTGTAGTATATTCAAGGCTAAGATTTTACTAAAAAAATATATATTCAGTTAGCAATATCCTACTGGTCAATACAAATGATCAAGAACGTCCAATCTTATTTTCCATTGCTTCCAATATCAAATGCCAGATATGAAGGCTCTAGAATAAATGAGATACACCTCAACCTTTTAGGCGTCTTGCAAAGCTTTACGGCTTAAGTTTAAATTCAACAGTCGTTCCGAATATTATCGTGATTACTTTATACATCCCAGTATCTACAAAAATGTATCAATCTTACCGATTGATTAAGTTTTCCGATTCGTATTAACATTCCACCGATGTACGCAACTTTACGCGGTACATGTACTCTTTAGGTAATTAGTCAAGCATTACCTGGAACATAATCTGGAAGAACACATAAGTTACTTATTAAGTTTATTTATACCGCGAAGACGGAGTTGCCGGAAAAGCTAGTTTGATATTGTTGAAATTGCGCATGTATTTAAGATGGACTGACCAGATCAGAACGGATGTCACCCCTTCACAGTAGCGCAAGGAAAGACAGATCAGGATGGGGTGGCGGCTGATTATAAAGCTGGTCTGATACATGATGACCACGACTAGAATGAAACGACTGTAGTGACAAAGAAGAAGAATGTTCTTTTTTTTGTGGGGCAATTCATTATTTTTTATCTAAGAACGCAAGATCACTGAACTGATTTTAAGACGAAAAAGAACTTACAAAGCAACACCACGTCAATGTAACGTCGCCGTAGTAATAGCAGCTTTGCGAGGCGTTATCGAGCCTCCCTCCGGCGAGTCAGAGACCTACCAGCGCGCCTTATTCATACTACCAACGACATCTGTTGACTAAAATAGTTTCGAACATTATAATAAAATCGAATATTAGCGCTGATAACTAACTTTGAATATATCAAGTTAGAGTTAGAGAACTAGCCGCTAGGTGCGTGCTGGTGGAGCCGCTCAGTGTCAGGGTAAAGTATGTTCAGATAATTTTTGTTAACTATTGGTGTCCGATAATTTTATAAGATGTAATGAAAGTAGCCGATGTTATAAAAAAAAGGCGGCAGCGATACGAAGATTATTTTAATAACAAATTATATGTAACATACGAATCCTTTAAGTCAAAAATATCTGCACCGATATACCGGATGCGACTAATATTTTCGGGAATGATATGAATTTCCTCAATATAATTAAAGTTAAATAAAATAAATAAGAAAATTATTTCAACACTAAATGTTATTTGAGATTACTAAATTCATTTTAATATATACCATTTACAATTTATTCGCGCATTTTGTAAATTGAACCGCCGCGCCGCCGCGCCGCCTCGTTGATACATTTACTGGTATTTCAAACCCTGTAGCGCCATCTGTTGGCATATTTAGTGAAATTTTAAGAAACTTTTTAAAGAGGATATCTTCTTATTTAAGACATTTGGTAAATTTCTAGTTTATTTCGATAATGTTTCATACATTAATTAGCCTTATTATTCCGCTTAAAATTGCAAAAACAGTCCGTTAATATACAAAGGCAATCTTCACTATTGGTTATAAGGCCCTCTAGGGATAAGTTAGTACAACAAAGAAAAAGTTATTTGAAATGATATCAATTTTCTTTTCTTAAAACTTTAGGAAAAGGAATATAAAGGCATCTAATCTTAACACATTGCAGCGGAAACGATTTTTATAATGGCGTCGATTTTTTATTTTTATAATTTATTATTCCTCTTAGGAATAACGCCATCTAGCGTTAATCTTATGTTTACTATTTATGTTCAACATTTCTAATCTAGATGTCACTACGTGTCACGTTATTTGTAAAAGATTTTGTTAAGCATTATTTTGGTAAAATGTTAGAATTGTTGTATAATTTAACACACATTTTGCGGAACTATCAAAATAATTAGAATTAGATAAATGATGATTCGACTAGATAAAAATATACACAACTAATGATTGAAACTTAAAAAAAGGAAAAATGTTGCTCTAACGATACATTTGTAATGGATTGATTATCGGTTTCTCTGTTGTCATTAAATTTATACACAGTAGTGTTTTGAAAAGATGAAGCAAAAATACTTGACGTCAAAGACTGTTCCGGTAGTCGTTATGTAATTGTGACTACATAGATATAAGAGTTTGTTTGTGTTCACAGCGCATTAGCTCTAGATTTTTCTCTACAAAGTTTAATTGTTGAGTTTCACAAACAGTCGCCGTTCGAGCGCTGAACAAACAACAGGAGCGGCGTGCGCACAACAACACCGTAACTTTCCACTACAATTTTTGTGACAAGTGTTTCGCAGCACAAAGCAACACGACATACTGCAGAGTCATATTCCTCGAGGCGATCGGAGCCGTGTCACCAGACGAGCGCACCGCAACCGCACCGCTACCGCTTTGCTGACCTACGTCAAAGCCTAGGCTTGCCTCTTTGATGTTTTACATTACTGATATCTATATTCCTCTACTATGAAAAGTCAATAAACATCATAACATCGCTCGGTGCTAATATAGCATTTCAATTCATGTAATTTTAGTTAAAAGTGTAAAAATGTGATGAAGCAATTGTTTAATTTTACCTTAACTCTGAGATAACAATTATTATATTAACTAAATCCTGGTGAGCGCGCACTCACTCACTCACTCACTCACTCACTCACTCACTCACTCACACATTGTCACAAACACTTATGTTTTGCTCATGTCATACATTTACACCATTTTATGGTGTTACATAAAAATGCGTAGTTACATTTTCTAAAACGTCACCGATAAAATTATCAATTATACTGCTATGTTTCATATTCTATGAAATCGTAGAAAAGATTGAAAAATGTAAAAAGAAACAAAACATTTGAGAGACACATTTTAGAGAACGCGTTTAAAGACTAATTTGTCCCATCTTTTTTTTTTTTTTTATATCATAAGGTGGCAAACGAGCGAGCGGCCACCTGAAGTCGCTCCATCTTCTATTCATTCTAGTTCTTTCGAGAAAAAGTATAATAAGTTTCGGGGTTTTCATTTTGGTGAATTTTAATTTCCTTGGTAAGTACTCGTATAATAATGAAACTCATAAGACTTTGTACAATGTATGTATTATCTTCATTTATTGTTTTAACATTAAAATTTACAACTACACATAATGTAATAAATGCATACACACACACGCACACACGCACACGTACTTACATTATATATAAGCAATCATCAAACTGCTTGTACATTTACACACCCGTATTAAAAATACTTATATAGATACAGTAAAATAAATAAAATAATAAATTCGTCATCTTAAGTTACAGCTTATTTCAATGTAGTGATGACCCTCCTCCTCTGTTTACTGCACGAACACCAACAAACCAACTTTATCTTAACGCAAATTATAAGTCGGAACAAAACTAGTAGTTACACAAGTTGTTCTAACTGCAGACCAGGAACGTGGCACGTGGTGTGACGTCACATCAGCCGACTTTATATTACATTAGGCTATTCACTACAAACATTGATCATCAAAAGAAATGGCAAAGCGAAATCGCAGACGTCACGTCATCTCTAAATGTTCACAATATTCACTTACAAAACTATTTTGAAAAGGAATTTAACAACATTATTTACAATAATATTTAAGCTACAAATAATTAAGTGTCTGTAAATATAATGTTTTTATATATTATACTATAAAAGTTTATTGTCTTACAAAATGTGCGACTAAAATGGTCAAAGAACTTGACGGCCTTCAATATCACAACTTTTTAAAAGTTAGACTTGAAGCACTTCGTGCTTATTTCATTATCAGTGAGCTTAACGCAAACCCTACGTTTAACTAATTGTTCAGATATGACTACAACACAAGTTAACTTTGTTCAATGGCAAGAAGCAGGTGTCCGGTCGCGGCGGCTGCCAGGAGTCGCGCCGCGCACACATCGCGAGCGGTGACACTTAGCTCTGCAGTTTTACTAAGTTTACTGGGAAATGCAAAGTATTTTCACAAAGGCGACCCGCGGCCGCTGCGTACTGCGGCGGGTGATAATCGCGGCTTAGGGCGGCCGGTAGTGCGAGGTGGTGCCCGCCACGCGCTCTAGCGCTGATACCCTGCAACCAGACAACCGGACCATATCACACTTGATTTCTCTTGGCCTCTCTCTAAACAACAAAACAGTTTGAATAAAGACTTTCACCAACCAGCACAATATTTCTTTTAATGTTTTCTTAATTCAGAAGACAGGCGTCAAACAAAAGTAATTCAGCGTTTCGTGTAATGAGTGTGCGAGCTGGAGCCTGATTTTACTCCCTTACCCACCGTTTTCTTATAAGAAAATGATGGAAAAGAGAAGTGAATTAAGCGGAGGGCGGGACGCAGAGGAAAGGGAAATATCCTCTCTCTGTGCATCTCCTACGTCGATCTAGGCAACGCATTTGCAATGTCTATGCGCTGCGGTCGCTTCGCTGTTTCGGTGAATTCCAGCGGCCGCTTGCTCATCTACCATCTTATAAAATATAGAAGATGTTCAGAACTTACTAACATTATGGTTAAAGTGTGCGCACGCGTCGCATGCTGCTTCAGGTTCGTGATTAACAACTACCCTACACCAATGACATGCACAAGATAAAGATCCACAAAGAACGTGCTATTCTACAACTAAAGAAGTGCTGCCAGTGTTGACAACGAGGAGCACTGACACTTGACAGAAGAGAGACGCGACCGTTAATGCAGTGCTAATACAACAGGCGGGAGGGAGGCGGAGGATGAGACCTGAAGAAGACAGATAGAGCAGACCGTGCGAGGGTTGGCGGGTTGCAGGCGCGGTACTCACGCGTCGGTCTGGTGGCGCGCGGCGGGCAGCAGCAGCAGCGGGCCCGCCGCGCACTCTACGCCCGCATACAGCGGCGGCAGCACCTTGTGCGAGTGTGCCTCCGCTGCGGACACACACACGTTAGCTATGCGACCGGCACGAGCCTCGCACGGGAGGGGTGGGCGCGGGGGTACATACCCGAAAGACCACCGCCGGGCCGCGGTACGCCGTGCCCTCCGCCCATGCTCTTCGGTTTCCGCTTGCGCGTCTGGATGCCGTCCTTCTTCATGCTGAGGGGCCGGTTGACCTGCGGACGAAAGCGCGTCACTCGCTACTCGTCCGGCGCCGGGGAAGCCGTCGTAATCTCCCCGCGCGCCCGACTATCATCCTTCAAACAACCGTATCTACTCGCGTGGAGATAATTGATAAAAGATTATTTATCTCATTATGAATATTCGTTGTGATAATTCTCTATCAGTCGGTAGCCCCGCGTTTATCTCGCGAGATTAGATGAGACCCCGTGTTTTGATTTTTTATACAGACCCAATATTTGCCGAGGAGTTCCCCGATAACTGAGCCTGCGAGCCGCACCGATTAGATACCTCGCGTGTTCTAATCGGCGCAGGGCTCGCAATCTATGCACAATCAACGCCCGCGTGAGATACCTGGCTATCTGTACACCAATTACATCGAAGCCGACGACGATGTCGACGACGCTACTCTAGCGAGTCTTGTCTTATCTCGTGATGCAACGGGTGCTGGGTAATGAGGTAATGAATGCGCTGTGGTGCAGCTTGACTCACGTTGTGCAATTTGTAGTAGAGGCCGCACGCGTTGCAGACGGGCTCGCCGTTGTTGTTGCGCCTCCACAGCGTCGTGTTCGAGGTGCGGCAGTTGGCGCAGGTCACGCCTACGCGCCTGTTGCCGTTCGTCGGCTGCAACACAATAAGCTTTATGGAGCTGACATTCGTTGGGATGGCACAAACAAAGGCGGAGAGGACAAACGGCCGGATCTTACGAGTGCCTGTTGTGGCTTCGCCTTCTGGCCCTTTAGCGGCGGCCGGTTAACGCCATTGATGCGCGTGTAGAGACCGCACGCGTTGCACAGGTAGTGGCCGGTGCCGTCGCGCCGCCACAGCGGTGTGGTGGCCGCCGCGCAGTTTACGCACTCCTTCACCTCGCCCATGCCCGCCATACCTGCATCATGTAAGTTATTATACATTTCACTTTTTTATTCTCCTAATGAAGATGAATTTAGATGCTATTTGCAGTTTTCAGTGCATCTCGAGATATTTTGGAGTACTAAGAACTTATAACTTTTCTTCGTTCAAAATCCATATATATTGTGTGTATTGTGTGTATTGATGCTAATGATGTAATGAATCTTCAATAAAGAATTTTTGTATGTGTTAATATATGCGTGTCGCCTTGCAACAGAGCAGCGTGGTGCACGTGCGCTTACCGGGGTCGAAGCCGTCGTCGATGGGCAGCAAGTTGTGCGCGGGCCAGGGCTGTGCGGGCGCCGCGTAACTCTCCACCAGCAGCCCGCCCTCGTAGCCCGAGACCGGCACGTATTCCACACCGCCCACGCCGCCCACTCCGCCCACGCCACCCACGCCGCCCTGCGCCAGGTAGTGCTCCCCGCCCACCTTGTACTGCACCGCGCTGCCGTGCGTGTACAGCGTCACCTCAAACACAGTCACGCAGATTTATACATCTGACGCGCTCACCCTCGCCTCGTTCCCTCTGCTGACACTACTCACCCCCACACCCTTGTCTACTGTTCGTTAATAACTATCCTTATTTTATAATGGTTTATTAATAATGGATACATAATAAGAATCTGTTTTAATGCTGCCGGTCAGCGAATACTTCATGAACTTTTGTTCGTGGTGCAAAATACTCATACATAATATTTCCGTGTGTGCGTGCGTACTCACTTGCTGGGAGTTGGGACTAGGCGGCGCCTCGTACACGGCCTGCGACTGCGGCACCACAGAGCCGTACACAACGTGCGCCCCGCGTGGCAGCGACGACGAGGTCAGCGTGGGATCCGCGCGGTACAGCAGCTGGCCCGGTGGCGATTCATCTCCGCGCCCGCCCGCGCCTCCCGAGCCCGCCGCACCGCCCCCCGGCGCGCCCCCGTACAGCGTCAGCAGCTCCTTGCCCCCGCCGTACGCGCCGTAAGCACCGCTCGCGGCATACTGCGGGCTCTGGCTGGCATACGCGTACCCGCCGTGCACCGACGTCACCGGCTGCAAGCTCGCGTACGTGCTCGGCCGCGGCTCGGGCTCGCCGCGCGTCTCGTACTTCACCTGTTGGTACGCGACGCCGACCGCCTGCTGGTTGCTCAACGAAGTTGTCTGAATCATCTCAAGAGCGCCGGGGGCCGGCTGGTCGCCGAGTGCCGCCGCGTACTGTCGTGCCTCCGCCGCGCTCGCCTCGCTCGATGCCACGTACGCTTGCATCTGCTCGCTTTTGTCTTTATGGATCGAGAATGCTTCGTGGGAATGGTCCTCTGGCTCGCCGTCCTGCGCCACTATAATGTGATGCGGCGCACCGTACCTCAGGGCTAGACTCCGGCCGTAGGCGGGCCTCGGAGCTCGCGCAAACTGCGCCCCGGGACGCTTGTCCGCGGGCGCGGCGGCCGGCAGCGCGCGGTATGGCTCCTGCTTAAAAGAGAGGTAGCGCGCTGTCTCCGCCTCGGCGAGCCGTAGCCGCTCCTCGTCGTAAGCATGGTGCGCGGCTCGCGCCTCGGCGTTCTCCTCCATCTTGGCCGCGTACTGCATGTGCTCTGAGTCGAGCGACGTCTCGGCTGGCTCATCCTTGACACCGTCGTCGGGCGGCAGGTCGGCGGCGTCGGCAATATGTCCGGCCGCGGTGATGGTCCGCAGGGCGCGGCGCGACGTGATGACGGAGTGCGGCTCGCCCCCTCCCCCTCCCGCAGCCCCGGCTGCCCCGTTCCCGCCACCTTCGTTGCCTGCCTGCTCACCCGCGCCTCCTCCGACGCCCGCCCCGCCGGCGCGATCCTCGCTCTTCACAAGCTGTAGAGCCTCCTCTCCGGCGGACGCATCGCCCGCGCCGCTCATCGTATTTCTTCCGTTTTCGTTGTCGCGTTGCTCCTCGCCGGCGCGTCCCAGTGACGTCGCGTTCTCCATTTTGATTCTGCGAAAAACCAATTTGTTGAATTTTTTAAACTTTTTTATTTATCGTCGGAAGGATGTAGTCGTACGGTGTCGTGCCGGAGTTGAGCAAACATAAGTTCTAGTCGGAGCGGAAGAGCGGTCGGGCAAACACGGACGAGTTCAAGAGCCGGCGCCGGCGCCGCCCCCCCCCCCCCCTCATTCCCCACACCGATGTCACCTGTGATGATGTATCACTAGATCGGTAAAACGTTGTTTTTTAAATTAAGATAATAATAACTGCAAGTTGTTTGAGTTGCGATTTGCGGGTTGCGAGTCTTGACGCTACCAAAATCTATAGAATAAAATATGGCAAAGATATAATATCACATAAACATACATAGGTACCTACTAACAGTTACAAAACTATTTATGAATTAGAGCAGCGAGTCGCTCCTCGCGGCGGAAGGACTGCGCAGGCCGTGCGCGCAGCGAGCAAACACGGCGCGGCCACGCGAACATGCACCTTTGACACATTGCTTTAAGGTTTTATTTGCCCTCAAAGTTGGAAACTAACGGGGCTCCTACGATTTTCAGCCTTAGATCGTCGAGTTAGCGCTCAAACATGTCTGCGGTGACTCGCACTACTTTATGACGCCGTGTTTGCTCAGCACACCGATCCTGCGATAACCACACCGGGCCCTACATCTTGTGATAACGTCTGTATTATTAAAAATATTTATCGTAGGCATTCTGACGCGGCAACAGCGCGACCGCAACGAGTCGTATCTGTCGGCCGCCGCGCCTAGTGGCCCGCTGCTGCGGGAACCGCCGCCGCCCGCCAGAGCCCGCCAACGTCCGCTAGAAAACACTCAAATTCCATGACGGCTCGCTACTCCGTCGTCCACTTTACACTGCTATCATTACTTCTTCTCTTTTGCTAGAGGTATTTTTTAAAAGCCTTAAAATAGCAAGTGTGTCATAATGTGGCTTCTGCGCTGTGAAACATGTTTAAATTTCATTTAGATCACAGCAACAATTGGGCAAAGCTCAATTAAAAAAGGAAGTAGCAGGTACATATACCACAGACCACAGAGCCGCCGCTGCACAAACATTCTTAATAGAGGATTTGGTTTGGCTTATTTGTGACGTGTTTGAGGACATAGGAGCACATAGGAGTTGACGATTTCTCCTTCGCCAGGTCAGAGCGCGCGTTGCGCACGACATGACTCACTGTCACTGTAGGTGTCGACTGCGCTTTGTACAGCTGTAGCTGTTGCAACACGATAGCCATTTGTTTTTGACGTCATCAGTTGAATTATACTTTTATTGTCATCACAACCAAAACACTGAATGTGCCAGAAGAGCGATGGTTGTGGAATTCCCAAGCTTATCCGTAAAAGTTAACCAACGCTTCAATTACAAAATACTCTGTATAGCTAGTTTTACAATGTTGATTGTCATTATAAAAGTTTTTTATTGATTTAACGCAAGAAAATTCAGCGGGAAAAGTATACCCGCGATAGTACGGTTAATAACTAGGATTCTACGAAAATATATAATGCACATTCAAATAGAAGGTACATCAACAAAGCTGATGCGTTGCTGTCTTTTATTAAAGGTACCGCGACATATAACATACCAGTATGATTCTATTTTAGTTTTTTTATTCGAGGCTACGACTTCGGGTTTCGGGGTAACTGTGCGCTACGGCGGCGGTCTCGGCAGTGCCTTGTTTACTTCTTAATAGCGACGGAACGATGGCGAATAATGACTTCAAGCCATCTAGTGATATTAAGTACAGTCTATTGATATTGCATCGCACTAGTTTTATTAATTGTTCATATAACAATGGCTTTACCTCTTCTTTTCATTTTTGGAGGAGGAATTGAATGACAAAAGAATTACGCAATTTATTTTAACCGCATCGGCATGTTTGTGCACACAGGGCGGGCGCATGCGCCATTGCGCCAGACTTCTATGATAAGAGGCGCGAGCATAAAAGACGCCCCACCCCCCAACCCCTTATAATTACATAAATAGATTTAATAATTATGTGTAAAGTTTGTTTGTAGCACAATGTTCAGTATTGTTAGTATTTCATTATGATTTGATTACGAGCAGTACCTACACAATAATTTTATCTGACAGCGTGTCATTTTTTACCTTTTATAAGTTATACTCGTGTACAAACTTTTGATACTATTTTAACTTAACGTTGTACAAATATTATTTATGTATGTTAAATTTCATCGAGACCCACTCAGCCGTTGTGGAGATAACTTCAAACATGTATCCATCCATTACCACCTAAACATTCGCATTTATAATGTTAGTGAGACAGTACACAAGTTGCAGTTACTTAGTTTCTACATTAAGGGAATTCTAATTTCATGGAGAGAGCCGCTGCCGCATCCTGCTGTATTACTGGCGATTCTGTTTTTTTTTATGTTGCTACAGATTGTACTGTATGTACTTCGGATGAGAGAATACTACATGTGGAAAATGACATAAAAATGAGGGCTAGACTTAGCAGGTAAATCATAAAAACGTATTTCTATGAACGAAAATTAGATGCGACCCTTTATAATTTATTATTTGGTTAGTTTCGACTTGTTGAACATATATATGGGAACGTCGGATGTAAAGTGAGTGACATCGCGAGGGTTGGGCGCAGGTCTGGCCGGGGAAGCCGCGACCCGGTGGACTCACGCCAATCACATTAGTGACACTGTACAGAGAGGCGATCCTGAGAGTACTGTAACCGAGCTTGTATTACGTGTTACCTATGTTTTGCTGCTTGCGGGTTTTTAAAGTTTATCATAAACCTTCCACAAAGCGCCCAGACATTAACACACCTATAAAATTTCTAAACGTGGTATAGCTTGTTGTCTTCCATTGTTCCAATACGTCATTGTTCATAATTCAATAATAAGAATCCATTAGCACTATTCAATAATTAGAGTAAATAGAGAAAATAGCAAAACAGAGTTGTTCTCACTAATTATAGGTAATTAGACAATGAGGGGCGCGGGCACGGCCGGGGGCCGGAGGAGGGTGGGCGGGGGCGGGGGGGCACACGTAATTCACACGTAATGATATTTAGCGTTATTTCATTACAAATACAGTTAACTATTCGAAATATGTTTACGTTTTGGTTTGGTTTGCTCGCATGCAGTCGTAGCAAACGAGTTTCGCATTGAATACAGTGCGATTCAAACGTAATAGCGGCTCGCGTTTCCACACGAAACGCTTCATCTCAGCAGTGACGTTAATAAATTAAGGGGGACGTAAAAGAATGAATGAAATCCCTGAATAACTTTCACACCAATTTTAGCTAATTGTGAAAGATTCATCGGCAAGGAAAACTGTTTTCATATTCTTGAAATAATTGTAGGCTGGTACATTCACCAGTCACCACAGCGCGAAGCTGGGGTAGGTCGTTATTATATAACATCATATGTGTCTAAAATAAATTTGCTACTATAATAAGAACCTTGTCTAACTTTCTATAACTACATATATTTAATAGTTGGTTTTGGGTTTTGTGAGCTTTTGTAAGTGAGAGGGAACAGCTTGCATTGTGGGCTTCTAATGAGACACACACGCGCACAGCTGGTTCTTCCTTATTGAGTACATTTCATACAATAGGCATTATATTGCGTATAACATTTCAATGTTTTACTTACATTATTAACTAGTAACACTTCCAGGTGAAACTGTGACAAACTCAACCTTTTCAAACTCTCAGATGAATGTCTAACTAAATACTCAAATTCACTCCGACACACAAAACGCACCGTCTTCGTCTTCGCGGGTGCCTTCAGCTTATGAAAATGTTTTTGAATGATAGCTATAAAGATGGAAGACTTTATCCAAACTCTACGGCATTCTAATTCAAACGTATCACAAATGTTTTACGGGTGGAGGTAGATCCGGACCCATGACACTATGCAGATCGCGCTGCGCCGCCAGATGTACTGAGGGGCTGTCGTAGCGGCGACGCACTACACGATAAACAGCTCCACTTATATTATTTTATAACTTCACTTCACTGTATTCACTGTTACGTCATCAATAGGGCTAAAAGTATTTTTTATGACAAATATTAATAGCAGAGCGATGTGCGCGGTTCGGCCGTGGTCACTGGCTTGTACGGCGGCGGTCGCCGAGCGTGGAGCGGCAGTGGCAGTGGCGGCTGGCGTCGGCCGGCGCGCGCGTATTGGGGACGGCGGGGCGTGCCCAAGGCGCCGCGCCCGCCGCCGCACCGCCCCCCGCCGACGCACGCCTCCTAGCCTCTTTTCCACGCTGCTCCAGTCGTCTGGTGGCTGTCCCCTGCGCCCTCTGCCTATTCCCACTGCCAACTGCCCTCTGCCCACGCTCAACTTACCGCCCGATTACCGTACGATCCGCCGCTGGCGTTATACAGCATCAGCGATGTGCTTCGGCACGAGGGTACTACTGCTTGACTTGACTTGCAGTGTGCAAACCTAAGCTCTAAAAACATGTATATTTATAAGTTGTTTAATTTAATTCTTTCTACAGATTAGTTCCGTCACTTTGCAGATTAGATTTATAATGATGCATAATAATGCAACACGTATGTACAAGGTCCCCGCTAATTGATCTAGAGCCAAATTTTATTTGTGGAAGTTTGAATTTTGTGGACAAAAACCTATACAAGGAGTGAGTGAAAATATAGTTTGATAAGACAGAATAGTTGCAGATACTTGTATGAATGTATGAAACACGAACTGTTGTTATGAAACGCTCTGTACTGCTTACAGGTTGCTTGCAGGTTTACACAGTCGCGTAATAACTTGAGATATTAAGAGATTGTAAATATATATATATATATATGATATAAGTAGTTATGTCTGTCTGTGCATACATATGTTGCGCCGCAGTTCGGAGTGACGCAATCCTCTTAGTCACACATGTTCATGTTATAGTACGAAAGTAGAACTATTTATCTATTGATTATTAAAAACAAAAAGTAGACAATATAATCATACACAAATTAGTTTTATTTCGTGGAGGTCCGCCGATGACGTCACTAAGATTTGCATGACATTTTTGTATGGTATACCTACAAGTAGTGCGTGCTGATGTCGGCTGGCGGTCGACACAATCCAGTGATTCATCTCATCTCAGACACCTCGCTAGGATACATACAATTTGCGTAGACTTTGTGCGGACACACTGTGGGACAGACTGACACGTAAACTTTGCAATTCGTACACAACGTGTCCTCTGCTGTGCTGTGTATGTGACTTAACCTAAATGAATGATAACATGGGAACATTAAGTGTACGTGTACATGTATGTATGTATGTATGTATGTATGTATGTAGGTAGGTATAGGTATATACTTGTATATATAGATGTTACATGGAGGCGCGGGCGTTAGTCACATATTTATAATTTAACAGGCGAACTCAATAATCCCTCTTTATCCGTAAATTTATGTCAATTATACCTATTGTTGCGCGACAATTATTTTTACAACAGATCGAGAAACAATAAGCGGCGATAAGTAGCGGCTATCTTATCCGCGAGGGCTTACCATCGGACGCATCGATCACCGCTCTAATTAGTGCGATAGCATCGGCACCGCGCCGCCCGCGGCACCAAGCGGCACTACACTGCACCACGAGGCACCACGCGGCACCACGCGGCACCACTCGGCACCACGCGGCACCACGCGGCACCACGCGGCACCACGCACCGGTCATGTTGTCCGTCTCCAGCGAGCGCTCCTCAGTACACAAGACTAAATGAATAGAACAGTGACGCAGGTCTTACGCGTACTCAGCAAACACAATATAATGAAACTATCTCGTGTCATGGTATCTTTTATTTGTAGTAACCTTAAACTTACAAATAACTAAATTGTTATTATCATCCAGACAGCGGCGCGAGCGACTGCATAACATAAACATTATATATATATATACTAATTAGTTTTGATGAAAAACAACTGAACCTGTAGTGTACAATGCGTTCAAAATGGCAGTTGTTATCAAAGATTTTAGTTACGTAGGTATGCCAGTGTCATCTTAGGCAACGGCTCAGACCGCGCACAGCACCTTTCTGCTGTTAGCAAACACTGTGAAAAGCCTGTACATTTACCACTAGGGTTCATAATGCAGATAAAAATCTCATGTCATTGTTTAATATCAGTGAGGCAGCAACCACGCAATAAAGATAATTTATCATCACTAACAAAAATAAGCCAACTGGCATTTTGCGTTATTGTTCCCCCCTCACACAGATCGCATTTAAATGATTGTTTTGTTTCTTACATAGCAGCTGTGCGAATGACTGATTGACAGAATCCAGTGTAAGAGTGTAAGACTAGTTGCCCGAGCTCGGCCTGCAATTCGCTTATAAGCAAATAAGTGTAACCAAGTAAAAAGTATAGAACATTCAAGAAATATATGTAAAGTGAGACCTAACGATCAGATTTAAGCAATGACAGGAGACTTACAAGTAATAATAGGACGTTTGTCATTCAAAGATGTTATCAATAAATTATCCGGCGATGTCGATAGCGCTGGCGCTCGATAACGATGTTACTCGTTGGAAGGATTATTTGGCGATACCTACCTCCGTATGTACGTACGTACATGTATACCTACGGCACGAAGCCGCGATAACGATTCTTGAATTTCACGATATTTGAAGGTGTTTTGTTTTTAACATTTATCAAACAATAATCCGAGCAAATCCATTGACATCGGTGACCGCTTGCCGCCTCACTGTCAGCCACGTCACTGTCAGCAGGGGAAATGTTGCAGCATGTATGTTGTAGTTACACAAGATGTTATAAATACTCAACTAATTTCAATATGGTGACACTTATTCGCTTCGTACAAAGAACCCATCATTCAGACTTACAGACCACAGACAGATGAAGTACACCTTAAATGTATGATCATTTTGTTAACTTTTTTGCATCGTGTTTGATTCTCTCAAGTAATTTACACTATTTATACTATATAAAAAAATGAGTGTTATTCAGGATTTATATTTAATTATGTATCGGTGTTTTTATAATGTTTTTACAATATCTGCATCCAAAAATTGCGTCTTTATAGAGTGAGGAAATCAATTGATACGAAAAGAAACCATGAGAGCCGCTGAAATTAGGCAATCTGGGTCTAGGCAATGTATAGTGGCTGGGTTGGCCAGCAGTCACCATTCCTCTGGCTAATGCTGGCCAGAGTGCTGATCAGGTTCGTATTCAATGTAGGGACGCGACAGAGCCAGGCCGGTGGCGGCTGGCCACGAACGCTTATCAGTGGCCACTTGACAAGCTGATAGCGACCACCCGGCCCCCGCCCCGCGCCCCACCCCATGCCCCGCACCGTGCTTTCTGCCCAGTGACACACCAATAGTTCCTGGTTCATGATGATCAAAATTTTTGTAACTCTAGAAGTTTTGGGACTCATAATGTCTTACAGAAGGTGATTAAATCCATTTTGTGTTTTCAATTCAAAAACTCTCTACCAACTCGATAGCATTGACTTTTCGAGTCTCATCGAAAGTTTTATTTGTGAAATATCGACATATTAGATAGAGAGATAACGTTTCAAACGGAAATATTTTTAAAAATGACTAACTTCAGTTCTAAAAAATGATAAATTGAATATAAAATGACAAGATGACACGATATTAAATGTAGACGAGATGTCTCCCCGCCCCGCGCGCGCTCGCTACTGACAAGCTGTCAATGATGACAAGCAGATAAGGGACATCATCGGTGAGGATCCAAGTCCTAGCTGAGAGTGCGACAGAGAGTGCTGCGGCGCAACACGCACAGCGTGCCAATTAAATGCTCTCGTATTCGACATTTGTTTATCAAAATTAAAGTATGTAAAATACGACAATAAAAAGTTTAATAGTAGCCTATGTGTTCATCCAGACTATGTTCTACATCTATGCCAAATTTCATCATGATCCGATGGCCCTTTCCGAAGACAATTTAACAAACATCCATCCATAAGTCTAAGCTTTCGCTTCGTAAGTCTTCGAAACCCGGCGGCTTGAGTCGTCAAGTGACCGATTCAATACAAATGTGCGTCGTCGACATTTTAGACTTTCATAGACAAAGTTGATTATATGCTTAAATTATACAACTGAATGACATGAGAAAATTTGTAATTACTTTTTACGTTTTCTTACAGTTTAGATACAGGTGTCTCTGCCTGTTTAGTTTTGAAATGTACAGTGAATACAACAAGTACTTCCAGTCCATCATTACTCATTCTTCTTTGACTCTTTGACAGCCAGTAAGTGACATTGGTGCGTATTATAATGTTGAAGTAGTTGTTTGGCCGCGGGCGGCGGGCGGCGGGCGGCGGGAGACAGAGGGGGGTAAGAGCCAGCGCAAACAGTCGTCGCGCTGTGTCAACACAGGCCCCCCTCCCGCCGCCCGCCGCCCGATCTGCGCCCCGGGATTACAACGCGCTCGCTGCGACTGTATGCATAGCCGTTATCAGCCACCACCGCGCCCCGCGCCCCCCGCCCCTTGCCCCTTGCCCCTGCACTCTATGACGTAGCCACTCTACATTGTCACTAAAATAGCTCAAGTGACAACTTCTATATCACACGGCGCGGCGCACCTATACAATGTTACAAACATCTCCAATGTTACATACGTATCCCCTGACTCTGCTCTGCACTGTGGCTACGTGGCTTGTCACGCTCACTGAAATATCCCTTCATACCGGCCAGCGGGCAGCAGCTAGCGGTCAGCGTGATGTCGCGCTTACCACGACAGGACGCACGTAGCTATTACCAACACTGACAGCCGACAGTATTATAAGCAATCGCGACAGGCGACGGACGAGCCATGTGAATTTCGTACCTATCAATAGGGAGTTTATCTAACGCGGCCAGGTTTTGGTTATCTACAGATAAAAATATTTATTGCACTTCGTCAAGCGTTTGCTCGACGACGGCCCTACAAGTTGGCATGAGGTCGTATGAGGCAATACGCACGTATTATGAAACACGTAAAAATGTATTTTAGTGAAGCTTCTCACTTGTCGCAGCACGTGATCAACTCACCACTTGCCTCGAATGTATTATAAACCTCGAATATATCAATAAACTCAACTAATAATACTGTGGATCGCAGCATGATTCGATTCATTTTGCTCTTAGTTAAAACTGGAAATGCTTTTCACATTGATTATAAGCAAGAGGAGACGGTTAGTGGTTCTACCATCCATCCAGGACAGTTCAACTCTCCTAATAATACAACACCGTTCTCTAGTCCCGCTTCTTCTGGTCTAAATATTGTTGTTACAAATTTGTGCTTTTGGGCCATTAGTTTATAAGATTCCTGAGCCGCAGCCATTGTCGTAATGTTTCACTTTATACCAACCGGTCTGCGCACCGGACCACGAGAAAACATCCTGTGCACACTCTGCAACATATACCGTAACCTTATTTATTTTTTACCTCAATATCATATTTTTTTACGTCGGCTAGTTAACGTACCTAGGAGTCTTTGGGCAAGGCAAACACGGTCTCCCGGTACTCGAGAAAGTTGCAGAGCGTGACATGAGCGCGAGCGGGCGTCGACCCGGCCGCGGGAGCGTCATGGTGAGCTTCCTTCAGATATGCAAAATGTTATCTCGTTTATCTTAACTATGCGTTAATGTGAGACTGGTTATCTTAGAGTTCCGATAATCGTATCTAACAGATACAGTATCTAGCGGAGCGGCGCGGCCGGGAGCCGGGAGCTGTCGTATCGCGATACCATCCCCGATACGTGCTAATTATCAGATACAAGCCGACAGATTTGATTATGAGAGCGCATCGCTTCATTACTGCGTGCGCGGGCAAGCGTGCGCCCGCGGGAGTGGTGCAGTGCGTGCAGTGTGTGCAGTGTGTGCAGTGTGTGCAGTGTGTGCAGTGTGGTGCAGTGCGGTGTAGTGGATGCAGTGCTGGACATGCGGCGCGGTGGGGCGGGGTGGGTCGCGACGGGGCGGGGCAAACGGGATCCGTTCGCTCCGGATAGGTGACACATCGATGGATTATCGACGTGGCCGGCCGACCTCGGCGATCTTATCAGTTGTTTTTTCGTCGAACATTTTCCGTGGAAAGCCGCAGCGGGACGCGATGGCCGCCGATAAGCCGCCATATTGTTTCAGCGCTACATCCTCTCCCCGCGGACCCTCCGCCGCGCCCCGTAGCCGCTGAATCACGCGGCGAAGACGTGCGCCGCGCTGCGTTCCTCGCTACGGCCGCGTACTCAAGGAACGTCGGACGTGCCCAACATGTCCGACGTGCTCGACATAGTTGAAGCGGCCGCGCGTCACTTGCGACATACACCTACGAGTACTATAAGTACATTATATTATATTGAAAACTGAATGTCAAACCGTTCTCGTCGTTCCATCTATACGTCAGCAACGGTGCGTCATACAGATCGAATGCGGCTTCGCGAGAAATGGCACCGTCTCCGTCTGTACAACAAGGCATCGGCAGGCTAGCCGGGAGAAGCAGGAGGTGTCATGTCTCTAGAGCTCACACATACATATGGTATTTCCTTAAAACGTGAACATGCGAAGTAATTTTGTTTTTTAGATCCGATTGTAATTTTTCATTCATCATAAATGAACTCCTTACAAAGTCGTTTGTGAGTGAGAATATGATGTGAAATGTTTCCTTGATCTTGTGCTGAAGTTGTGAGTTTGGAACTTTAAAGATTTGTTTAAGAAGAGGGGACAGTAGATATATTATGTTTGTTACTTATTTTGTAAAGAAAGATAGAGTCGAGATAATTTCTTGTAGTTTGTAGTGATCCGATAACGCGTATGTTATTGCTACTCATGAGGGCTGCTATTGTTAGAGATATACTATTCCATGGGTTTTAGTAATATAAAATACATATTGTATCGTTACAGAGTGCACCGTACTGAGCTCAGACTTACACTGTACTGCACTGCACTGTTATACTTATAACCAGATTATAGATCAATCTATTTCTTTATTCCCACTGATATTATCCAATCTGAGCTGATCCCTATTTCTTATGGCTATTCAAACAAATACGACTCAATTTATACTGAATAATAAAATGTACGAAATAAGCGATATCATTAGACATAACTTTTATTTTTGCTTGTTGACTGTAACGTGCAACGCTTCTGAGATTAAGCGCACAAAGTCAAACACATTGAAATTCTAAAAATTGTTCTTTTAAGTCCTATAGCTTTGATGAAAAAAACTATTGCATGGCGGATTATAAATATTTGTCTCTAGCGGTCACCCCCGACTCCGTCCGCGCGGAATTAAAAAAAAAACTGCAATGCCTATGTGTTCTTTCAGACTATGTTGTCTATATGTATGTCAAATTACATCAAAGGCATATATTCATTATGATTATCATAGATTAATTTCTGAAGCCGTACTGGAGATATCTTCAAACAAACATACATACATCCATGCAAACATTCGCATTTATATTAATAAGAAGAAGATATAGGTATTGACAGCGACTATTGAATTCAATTGAAGGAGTTTACGTCGTAGCGGTGTAGCGTACAGTGAACTGTAACGACCAGTAAGACGTTTATATTTTTCAGTCACCTCACTCAATGTAAAATTTTGAGCTCGATAACAGCTGCCAAAGTTTGCTTAATCGAAAGTCAAAACGAAGTTTGTGCTCACAAGTTTATCAGTTTCTTTTCAGTCAGATCGAGGCGCTGTAAAAATGTCATACAAGTATTTCGAAACGTAGAGACGACATTAAGCTAAATCCCGTGAAAATGATTCCTGCTTCAGCCTCAGTCCTCGCAGCCGCAGTCTCAGTCTAGCGCAGCAGTGCGCTCATCGCAGCAGTGTTAGCGCTCGCCGCCCGCCGCCCGCCTGACGTTTATTCAATTGTTAGTATAACTTACATAGGTGGTGAATAAAATGAAAATTGGTAAGCTGCAGATCTGACATGAAGTAGATCTGCGAACCGAGTTCCGGATCAGGTGGATGTGAATCTGCATTCATATAATTTACGTACATATCTTATCTCGCTGCAAAACGCTCGTAACAAAATAAACGTTAAAACGATTAAATAAGACTTTAGGTTAAACAAATATACATTATAAATATTGATTTGATATCCTCGTACTTTACACATATTTTAGTAAAAGGATTTGTTTTTATTTCTTCAACTTTGATCCAGCAACATCATTTCATTTACCGTTGACCGGTTGATATCTGTCCCCCTCCCCCCTGCCTCGCCCCCACAACTGTCGGGGCTCGTGGCTGCCCTTGTTAGGGCTTCACTTCGCACTTACAATGTTATCATCATATACATCAGATACGTGCAGTTTGCTTCAGGATATTTTCCTTCAACGTAAGAACATCGGATAATCTTTATATATATAATTCTTCTGTGAATGTGTATGTCACTGAAGTTCTCTCAAACGACTGGACCGATTTTGATGAAATTTTTGTGTGTGTGTTCAAGGGGATCTGGGAATGGTTTAGATTCACAATTTTTTCCGCAGGACAATGTTTTTTTTAATAAATTTTTAATTTATTAGTAGTTGTTGATTTTGGAATGTTTTACATTGGATCCGACAGACGGCGCTACCATCGCAGTGTCAAATTTTAAATAATATTCGAATTAAAGACGTGTAGACAGGACAACGTCTGTCGGGTCCGCTAGTATAATGTAAAATTCGATATAGTAAAGCACATTGGTATGTACATGGCGAGAAACGCACCAAGACGTGTACACATAGATCATTTTATGTTTAAGTTCAATGAATGCGTAAAACTTAAACTTTGACAACTTTCTTGTTAAGATATTTTCTAATTCGCTGTCAACTAGATACCTCGTTGTCTATGTTAGAGTCAGAGAGTTATTGTAGTATGTATGTACATCGCGTGCCCATTGAGTGACAGTTCAACGGTTGAAGTAAAAGTGACCCGAGCTTATGAGCCGATTCAGATTTACGCCTTTAGACCTAACATAGCATGGTGCAGCGGCTGTTGTGTTTGCTTCTGTGGCAAAGGGTGGCTGGAATACGGTTGCGGTATTTTCTCCTTTGAGGAAAAAATGTTGGCAGAAAAACGAAACATGTGTAAAATTTGATTTATTATATCTCTCCTTTTGCTTATATTGTAAAATATTTACACAGACGTGTAGAGGGCGGAGGCGGGCGGCGGGGCGGCGGGGAGTGACTCCTCCCCGCCCCTCTCGCCAGCCCCGCGCCCTCTCTATATACTCTATATCATAATAATATGCAAAAAAATATTCTCTATTCTTATTACTTAGGTACATTGTGTCGTGTCGCGACACCAGCATCAATTCGGCTTCAAACAGAGAGGATTCAGATCTATGAGCGGGGCAGCCTCACCCCCACCGCCCCACCGCCCCGCGCCCCACGCGCCCCCGCCCCGAGCCCACGCATTATATATATATATATATTATGTGGCGCAATTATATTTTGTATTCCAATATGCAATCAGTGCACAAAATCAAAGGTCAATATGAAATACACGTACAGTCTGTATTACACGTTGCAGAACCACGTTGCCTTGCTTTGCACCTCCACCTCGCGAATAACCTAAAAGTCTTTCATAATTATAAACGACTTCCAATATTTACAACATGAACTGACCTATTTTCGGAAAAAAACTTTTTGAATAATGACTTTACATTGGCCATTATTTTTGTCTTTCATAGCGACGCGGTAATCGCTTTAGAGTTTGAGTATCGCTAGCCGAGGTCATTGTACATGTGTTATTAATTTCACAGCACATTCACATTTATTATTTATAAATAAACCTTATAAAGAGGTAGGCAGCTTGCCGGAGCGGACCGGAGCGGGCCGGAGCGGGCCGGAGCGGACCGGAGCGGGCCGGAGCGGGGCGCAATCTCTTCACGAACTAACACACTCGTATAAATTCGTGGAATGCTTTCGAAGTCATGGAGTTAACTAGCGTTTAATTACTCACTAAATAATATCAATAAAAATTATTATCAACGAACAGCCTTCTCGCTAATATTATTATAAACATATGTCTTAAGTGTATGCGCCGAGCCGAGCACGACATAGGAATGTGTGGGAGCTTGTGCGCGCCGCCTTCAGGTTGCTGCCCACCTGCCCACTGCTGCGTGCCGCGTGACGCCGCGTGACGCCGCGTGACGCCGCGCGGACACGGCGGCCCTGCGCGTGCACGCTCATAGACAAATTTTTGGTACGATTGTACTAGGGACTACATAAATAACATAAAATATTCTCTATAGCTCATGTTTCGATAAAACCGACCGCTGGCCGGCGTGTACCCGGCGGCATGCATCCGGCGGCGTGCCCCCGAGCGGCGTGCGGGCGGACGGTGTCGCGAGTGATTCAGCTGGCCAGCGAAACGGCGGCGCCGCGCTCGCCGCTCTCGGCTCGACGGTACTCTTCCTCGTACATGTGCGCGGCGTGGGCTGCGTGCGCGACGTGGGCGGCGTGCGCGGAGTGGGCGTGCGCGGGCGGTGGCTCGTCCATCTTGATGGCGTGCTGCACGTAGTAGCCGAGCGCCAGCGCCGCGCGGCTCTCCGCGTTGCCCACGCTGATTACTCCCGGACCGCTCTCCACTGCAAGCGATAACGTATTACGATTATTTTCGCTATCAAAATAATTTTATGATCTCTAGCAAAGGGAAAGATTAATTATATCAAAATCCATTGCATCTGAATATGGTTTAAGAGATGGGGGGGAGGATGAATGGCACTTTATGAGAGTCAGAGGCATACTTACACATGTTCTCCAGTTTGACAGTGGAGGGCACTGCGTTGGTGGTGGCGTGCGGCGTGTGCGCGCCGTGTGCGCCGTGCGTGCCGTGCGTGTTGTGCGCGCCGTGCGAGCTATGCACACCGTGCGTACCGTGCGAATTGCCTTTACTGAGATTTCTTTCTCCTTTCATAGAATTCTTGGGTTTTCGCTTTCTCGTCTGAAAATATGCCAATATGCCATGTTAAAACTATACCAAACATTTCACAATGTAATTAATATTTACACGTCTACGTTATCAAACCTTATTGGTTTTTGTCTGCGCCAGACACTGCACGATAAATAAACGTTAACGACTGTGAAACTTATAGAATGGGATAAAGCCGATATTGAAAGTGGAGCGTACCTGTATAGAGTCCTTCTTCATGGCGAGAGGGCGGTTGATGCCGTGCAGCTTGTAGTAGAGGCCGCAAGCGTTGCACACGGTCTCACCGTGCACGTTCCGCCGCCACAGCGACGTGGTGGAGGTGCCGCAGTTGCTACACGTCAGTCCAGGCCGCTTGCTGCCCATCTGTACACGCACACCACGACCCTCGGTCAAAGCAGGCCCGATAGCTACTGGACTGAGTGTCGACACCCACGACTCCTTTGCTATTGATAATAGTGCATAGGGTCGTCACTCGGTCCGCGTCAGTGTAGCCGTGTGGCCGGCGACGGGATGGGGGGCTGCGTCAACGAGTCATGTCGTGGTCGCGAGCGACCGTTTACTTTGGACGGCATGCGACGTCATGCAGTTAGTGATAGTGACAATGACACCGTTGGCTCAGCTGCATGCATTCGAGATTCGGTAAAGTTAGCACGGGAACGATGAGAGTTAGCGAGCAGAGGGCGGGGTGAGGCGGGATGATGGGAGGGCGGGAGAGGGGAAGGGGGCCACGTACCCCTTTCTTCTGTTTGTAGTCGGGGGGGGTGGAGGCGGCGAGCGGCGCGGCGGACGCGGGCGGCAGCGCGTGTGGCGCCACGCCGCTATAGCCCTGGAGAAGGAAGCCCTTGTAGAGATCCGCGCCCGGCGGGGCCCCCTCCGCGGCCACTGCAACCAACACAAGCGTAACTACGTCGGGCGCGGATGTCTGGGCGTGCGGGGCGGGCGAGGCGTGCGAGCGGGGCGGGGACGCGGGGCGGGTTAGTCAGACGTGGGCTGCGTACGTCGGGCGCGGGCGGGGCGGCCGCGTGCCGCTGACGTACCAGCCGCCGGGGCTGCTTCAGCGGACGGTTCATGCCGTTCATCTTGTTGTAGAGGCCGCACGCGTTGCAGAGGTAGTGGCCGGTGCCGTCGCGCCGCCACAGCGGCGTGTGAATGGCGCCGCAGTTGACGCACTCGCGCCCGACCGTGTAAATCTCCGCCATCTCGACTGCGCAACACACCACCGCCGCGTGAGCGCCGGCCCCGACCGCCGACCGTTCGACTGATACTCCGCATGTCATTCCGATCCCCGGCACTGCCATTTGCGCCACAATCACATAACACACCCACATCGTTCGGGCCTTTTCCATCGTCAACATTCAAACTCATAATAATATGCTAGGCACTGCTTGCGATCAAACAGAATACATCGCCCTAATCATTATACAAAGCATTTTATAAAGAGCGCAAATTCGCACGTCGGAGTGCGGTGTGCTTCGTGCGGAGAGGCCGCACTCGCAGCGCCAGTGCGAGACCAGCTGTGAACTCCGAGCGAGTGACACAGCGACCTTCGCCCGGCCCGATATGATTGTTTACAGCTAATCAATGTCAGATGACGCGTTGCGCGATCTCTGTACAAAACGAAAACAACGAACAACCTTGGCAATGGACCGCATTGTATCACGTAAGAGTGCTGAGTGTGCAGCGGGGGGAACGCGCACGTGCGCCCGCACACGGAAGTGACGCGAACACGCATCTCGGTCAGTGTTGTTCTTATCATTGAATACATGGTAAGTCGCGTTCAGAGCCAAAGCTGCGGGGCTGCGGGGCGGCGGCGTAGCGGTGCGGCGTGGCGGCGTGGCGGCGTGGCGGGCGCGTGTTGCCCGTGTTGATGGACCACGTCATCGCAATAGAAATCGACAGGCGTCGGTCGGGGATGAAATTCAATAGCGGCAGTGCAGCATGTGTTTGCTACAACAGATAGTGGCCGAATAGGCGACCGTTATCGGACCGGGACATCGCTAATGGCGCGGCTAATGTGCTCCGGCGCAGCCTGGTTTGGCTCACACGCCGCACCCACACTGTGCTGCCCTGTGCTGTGCGCGTCGCAGAGAGCGCTTGTCGCTAATAACGCTGACCGGCGCCGGCGGCCATTGGCCCACGTGTTGGCATTGTTGTAAACCGTACTGTCAACGTGTTAACCTCATTGCACAAACGCACATGACTTCATTATTTTTTGTACTGTATTTCTTATTATTAAAAGAAAAAGATTATTTTTTTTACTAGATGCATAAAATGTAAAACAAAAGTACGTTCAGGTACTGGAGTAAGGCGTGTGCGTGTGTGTGCACGTGACGTCATCGGCCAGCCGGACGCGGCACGTGCCTTATCCGACAACACGACATAAACGGAATGACATTTTAATGCACTTAAAAGGAATGACTTCATTTGGAGAGGCGACGTTTGGTTTTTGACGGGACCTGCGCAAACAGCGCGTCCGGCCGCGCCCTCCCCGCGTCCTCCCCGTGTACTCGCCGGGTCCTCAACGCGCCCCACCTACCACAAATTATGTCACGAACGTAGATGAAGTTGTAATGCCAACTTTTTACTGAGGTAAAAATCTAATTAAGATGCTACGGATCCCGGTAAGGTTCGGTCGGGTCGGAAGGTTTGCGCCGCGCCGCCGCCGCTCCCGCCGCCGCTGTCGCCGCCGCTGCCGCCGCGTCGCCTACCTTTTGCACTTATCGATCAACAAGCTCGGCGAGCTCGACGAGTTTAAAGCGACATCTCATGTCCTTATAACTTCATAAATTCTTCCGGCACCCGTAAACATGTGTAAAAAACTGCTGTTTGTGCTAAACTTTTTTTAACTTAAGCTAGTCGCAACTGAGCGCCGCGTCGCCCAATGCGGTGCTCGCTCATCACCGACGTCTCTTATCGAAAGTCTTTACAGTAGAGAGGAAATTAATTCAGAAGAGGTTTTTTTTAACTCAACAAATATAGAAGAAGGGCGCGTTTTGTCGTTTTGTCTAATATGTTCGTGGCATTCCGTCGAAAATGTTGACACGTGACGACTGCCACGTGAGCGAGGACACGACGCGGCCTCATTTGAATATATACGAGTAGCAGCAGCTAATTATCCGATAGCAAGCAGCAAGGCAATGGCGCTCTGACACTCCGCCGCCCCAACCGGTATATGTATGTATTAATTCAACTTTGTCAACGATGATAAAGTTATTAAACGCACTCTTGCGAAACGACGCAAATTAATTTACATTAATTCAAGTGTAATTCTGAAGCTAAGCGAGGTACGTACATACATACATGGGCTATGAACAACTTGTACTAGGGTACGTGGACGCGGCGCGAGAACGTCGTAAAGCGGTTTCGTTGTCCCGTCGTCCTATCTTTATACCAAAAAAACCCAGTGACGACACCTAGTGTATAATTATAAACCGTTGACGACACTTAACACTTGACTTTTTGTAGCAAACTATTAATTATTTAATGGGGAGAGCCGAGGCGCAAAGCCCATCGAAGATAGATGAAGGTTAAGTGTCATTGAAAAAGTGTGACTGCGGGCGGCGCGGCGGCGCGGCGTCGCCCCTGTCTCGTCTTGGGAAAAGGCCGACCTTATTGCAAGTAGTCTTTGAAAAACCACGGGAGCAAATAACTCGATAACAATTCCATCTTAGGAGTTTTACCTACAAATTGTGGGTAATCGTGTTTCTTTTTCTGAAACAATATCCACACACACACACACACACACACGCGCGCGCGCGCACACACACACGCACAATATGTGACAGTGAGGCGAAATTATGAGCGTGTGTGGCGCTCTGCCAGCCGGAAGTGCAAAGAGCAACACGTCAGCGACCCGGCGACCCTGCGCGGAGGTACCTACTTATTTGTCGACTACCGCCCCCCCCCCTCCACGCCCGCGCCAGCCGCGCCCGCCGGGTTCCGTAATGACATGCGGGAGTATCAGCCGTCGTCTTCGTACACAACAAGAAAATAAAATGCAAGAAAATTATAAAGCACAAATAATGTAATATATACCTATAGTATATTATCATAAAGAAATCACAAGGAAAACATTTTATATTATAATATGTGCCATCTTTATGGTGGCCCAAGGCGCAGCATTGTCCTGTCAGCAGTGCGACCACATGTCAGTGTTGAGGGGGTGCAGCCGTGTCGCGACCACGCTCTTTTTTATATTAAGTATAGTGTCATTGCTGCACCGCTGGTGTGTCAACCAATGTGTCGGTGTGTCAGCGAGACGTTAGCGGTCCTACTTACTGGCACTGAGGCTGGCGGCGGCGGACAGCTGCGGCCGGCGCGCGTCCAGCGCCCACGCCTCCTGTAACAAGCAACTTCGTCAGTACCGTCAGGGCGGCCACTCGCGTTGTACCTAGCCGCTGGCTGCACGGGGCGGCACTCAGCGGCAGGACTTCTCGCCGTTATAATCATAAAGATTGTAATAATTTAAGTGGTAGAACCCGCTTTAACATCTTCGCACGAATTGGCCAGGTTCGCCCGGTGAAATTCCGCGTTTCGTCTGATGAGTGTGCGTCCCGGAGGCCTAATTTAGTCCTCTTTCCCTTCCCATCTTTTTCTTTTAAGGAAAGGATGGGAAGTGGAAGTGGACTTTCCGGATGAGAGGATGCATGGAAAGGGAAAATATTTTCTTTCTGTGCATCCTCTCCTCCGTCGATTAAAGGTAGGCAACGCATATGCATTGCGTATGTCTATGGGCAACGGTCACTTCGCTATTTCAGCGATTTCAGGTGGCCGCTCGCTCGTTTGCCACCTTATGATATAAAAAAAGGATAGAAAAATACATATACATATACACTATAGTACGTACTTTTCACCCAGCTGAAGAGGAATAATTCCACCGTCCCACGTGTCGCCTAATCCCACACGAAGGGTAAGATTACTGTTATTGTATCCGTGGCGGCGTGAACTGGGCACTCACCTGGTGCGGGTAGCCGGCGGCCAGCTGCTGCGGCGCGTACGCGGGCTGCCGGTGCACGAAGGCGCTGCCGAAGCGCGCGCTGAAAGCGGGCAGCGCGCCTCCCGCTCCGCCGCCTGCGCTCCCGCTCGCGCCCTCGCTCTCCGCCTGCTCATACTCCTCCAACACGCTGCTGCTGTAGTTTGGCGACCCACCTGAAGCGACAGCCGATAAATATTAATTGCAATACATCACCTGGGGCGTGCCCTATGGAAAGTAGTAGTGTACCCGCGCTTGAGGTCCAAATTTGCGCCTGCGGCAAGTCCGCGCCGTTGCCAAAGTAGGGTGAGCCGGCGGCGTACCCGCACCGCGCATACATCGCTCCTGCGCCACCACCTGCGCCCACCCCCGCTCCGCCGCTCGCGCCCGACCTGCAGACACATACACGTTCAGAAAGGCATCCAGCTACACTACAATGTATATTCAAAAGCAGATTAGCTTATGCGCTGAACGGGTACGAGTACACGTGTTTGGCCGGTTCTAATAAATATTATTGTTTTATCGCCGACCCCGATAATCGGGTCTCGATTTATTTTATCGATTAATGGATTAAGGAGCTTGAGCTCGACCTAGTTAGTCTAGCTCATCGTCTTTGCCACAGGGGGATCCGTGCGACCTGACCCTGCCGGAGCGACGTGCAACTTCTAAGACTTTATTCATTTATTACTATTGCATTTTATAGTACGAGTAAGCATTTTGTCATGTTGCAACGGTCGTCCGGTGTGGCGCGGCAGAGGCCATGCTCGCTCGTCACTGCCGGGCACACTTCTCGGAAACGCCACCCGACACCGGCGCCCGACAAGGCGCCGCAGCCTCCCCGCTTTCCCTCCTTAATATCATGTTTTCTAATGGCCTTGCTAATCACCTGACTTTGCTACGAAGACTTCGGTAACTATTAAACGTTACAGACGAACGGCCAGCACTTCCGTATGTAGGTATATGTACCCGTCACGCCTCGTCTGCTAATGAATTCCGTCGGAATACTCAGTGCATGTTTAACATAAAACTAATGTTTTCTTCAGAAAGCGCCTAAAATTACTAACAAGTCCCTTTACAAGACAATCTATGATTGTTCATCTCTATTCGTTCATATCTACAGTAAATAAAGTTTACAAATCCTGTCTATGAACATATGATTATTTTACATAACTGTAACCCTTAGCACGGTTGCAGAAAGTACATAAACAATTAGTGTGCATGCGAAGGAAATCGACGTATGTAGGTACTTGGTACCAGTAAGCTGTAGTTGCATAACAACGGCGCAACGCCCCGCGCCCCGCGCCCTCCACCCGCCGCCCCGCCGCCCCGCGCCTGCCCGCGCGACCGCTTCTAATGGCATAACGGTGCGGAAAGGTTTATTAGGTCAGGCTGGTGCGTGAGGCGGCTGGTGGGGGGGTGGGTGCTGGCTAGAACAATGGCGGGTCGCAGCCGCGGTGGAAAGTCTAACCGATCGTAAACTGAACGACGACGTTTCAATAATGCCTTCAGCGGTCCGTTCTCGAAGCGTTTCTTATTCGTACTACAGAAATAAAACGGTCGGCGGCGGTTTGTTTCTGGCGCAAAGATCTTAAGAATCGCTAATCTAGCTAACATTATATATGCGAAAAAATTGATGAATGGATGTATGGATGGATGTTTGTTAGAAGGCATCTCTAGAACAGCTGAAGTGATCTACCTTTTATAATATTTCTCATAGACGTAGAACATAGTCGGGAAGAACACTCTTAGGCTACTACTTGAGATTTTTTTCCAAAGATTTCATATTCCAGTCCAAAAGAAAATCGTGAGGGGAATTGGATTGTCGTGTGTAGAAAAGAAAGTTATCCTTTTTAGGCATTTTATCTCCTCTCTCCATTAAAGTTAGGCAACGCAATCTTCTAACTTAATGCCGTAGCGGACACTTCGCTATATTTGTGTGACATCATATAAATGTAGACTTTTTAATAAACGTTGTTATGACGTCATCAAGGAGCCGTGGATCATCAAGAAGACATGCATAGCACGCGGGCCGAGCACGCGTCACGCGGGACGGGCACACGGACACGCGAACACGCGGGCGGGCACGTGCGGCCGCCCGCACGCGTCACGCTCGCCCGGCTTGGACGTTAAAGACCCGTGCTACAAAAACAAAGACGGACATAATCGGGTTCGACGACGACCGCGCGACCCGGACCTGTTTGCATAAATCGGTCCCGCTTCGGGATCCCCGGGCCCTACGCAAACACACCACTCGAAACACTTAAGCCGTCACTCCAGCGGACAAAAAACAACACGAACAAATTTGAAAACGATCCGAGGACCCTCGAGACGTGTAAAACGACGAGTTAGAGAGTCTGCCGTCAGAAAAAGTGACAAACACATAGCGCCGCACCTGCCTGCGCCCCTCCCGCCTCACCACACCGCCCCGCATGAACATGAAGCAATTCAAGATTACTTGCGCCTGAAGTAAGGATCTCTCCTTACTTTAGCAGGCCTCAAACAACGAGGGGAAACAAGCGAGACATCTAGACGTGATGTGTGCGCACAGAGACGGCAGAGCTAAAACACTGAAGTAGAATGTGTGCGGCTTACAACCGGCGACTGACGCGTATCAGTTTACTACTACTACGAGCTGAATGTGATAACTCGCGTGTGCGATAGCGTTTATGAATGAGAGAGAGATTAGAGCCAGCGGATAAGCCGGTGATAACGAGCGAGTGCCACCGCAGCCCCGCCGCAGCCCCGCTGCAGCACAACCTATTGCAAACACGTGACATCAGCGATGTGACCAGGAGGTCGTCCAGACCAGGGCGCTAATGTCAGTAATACAACAGATGTTTATTCGTTGTGTACGTCGCGCATGTCGCGCAAGGCAGCCCGGGTGGCTATCGCGCGCCAAGTGCAGCGTCACGCCGCTTCTTCTGCTAACTGTTGGAATTAAGCCGGTCGTTTTCCATGTTGTGTATTTGTTTTCTTAATTTTAAGCTAATCATTGTTTACTTTGTATGTTTTGATACCTTTACTACCTTCGGTCTTAAATATTATTTTTGTTGTGTCTTGTGTTATTTTATTATCCAACGTGTTTATGTGTATCGCAATAAACAAGTAATAAATAAGAACGGCTCGTACGGTGCCTAGAGCTGCACGAGCGGCCGCGCCGGTGTCCTGTGACGCGCTCCCACGCCCGCGCCCGCCGCGCCCGCCGCGCCCCCTCCCCACACATCCGGCATATTAGCTCGCCAACACAAGGCCAATGCCTATATTTTATTGCAATTACAAAAACATGAGGCCATTTAAAACTTTAAGGCTGCAAAAGTATCTAAATACTGAGGCCACTGAATCGAAAAGCGCTAGTCTTGTTAGTACTCGCTCCAGATAACTGGTGCTACTTTGTGTTGCGGCGCTAGGTCCCCCCCCGGGCCCGCACACCGCCGACCTCATGTTTCGCGACTTATCGCATTAACGAGCTCCACTTTCTTCGGCGCGCAAACAAACCGACGTTTTTACGTCGTTTTGATGCAACAAAAAGGTTTGAGGATGAAGGTTGTGTTTGTGCGAGCGGCCCGTCCCCGGCAACGTTTGCTCGTCGTATTAGCACCTCGCAATAAATTATTGTCGGGATCGCGGGAGGCGGTCGGCCGCGGAGAGCGGGGAGGGACTACACGCTCCGCTGTAGTCATGCAGGCAGTGTGTGCCACGACACATTCACAATGTACGTAGCTAACTGAGTTAGCTAAAGGCGTATTCACACCGAGCGCAGCGCGCCCTCGCCCGCATTACTCTTTTTATTGAAATTGGTAAATAACATCTCCACCGTCTCGCGTCCCGACAATTATTTACTCAATGAAATGTACACAAATTAGGCAAAGATTTTGAAAGGGGTTAATTGACGCCGAGACGACAGAGAGGCATATGTGCAGTTGAGCGCGCGCTCAGTGCGAGGTGTCGCTACGTGTGTACGCGCCGCGGTGCGATAAGGAGCGCTTGGCGGCGATTGCCGAGTTACAGCTGCGATAAATGTCTAGCGAGGACCGAGGAGGCCTGGCCGATCACCGTTACCTAACTCGCAAATTAGTGACTGACTTGCTGATATTTATTGACATTGATTGATATATATTGATCTTTAAGAACATGTCAACACATTGAAATAGGAATAGCTTAAAAAAAATAGCTAAGCTCGTATCGTTGTGACTGTGTAACAAAACAAGTTAAGAAGTTTTTTGGTGCCACAGTTAGTGTGTGTTGGTGTAGTGTGCGCAGTGGGGTAGGTAGTGCAACAGACACAGTACGGAAGGCGTCGCGGCACTAGAGCGGCACGATCCGCCTAGGCTAGGTGCTCATCGGCCTTAAAGGGGGCCTTTGGAATTGGTGGTGCATAGCGTCGAGTCCCTGAGCATTATCTGTGTAGCTCTGACTTGCATCATCACAGCGACACTGTGGCAGCGAGGCAAGACGCGACTAATCCCGGAGTTGAGCAAAGCGAGGAGAGGCCGCGGTCGCTTTCCGTATGGAGATCCTGTATCCTCCCGTCGCTATCTCTGCTCGCGGCTATCGTGCTGTTTCAACAAACAAACAAACAAACGTGCAAACCGACATTAGTTTCTTTCTCCCAGAGAGATAAGTATGCGTTAGGCATTTCCCCACGTTAAAGAGGCTGTCAAGTCCTCGGGTGTGACTCGAATCCTACAGGTTCGTACAGTCCTCGACGTCTTCCAGTTATTCGCTGCCGATCTGCAATCTGCTGGTCTACGTTTATTGAATATTACTAGGCCTGGTAACGTCACAGCCAACGAGACAACGACACAACTTAGTGGCGCCACTGTACAAAACATTACATAGTTTTACTTAGGTGTGTTCTTAAATTCTGTTTGCACAATGATTCGAAGTTAATTAGTCGTAATACAAACAGTCATCAAGCGACCGCCGCGCCGCCCCGCACCGCGCCGCACCGCCCCGCGCGCTGCATGAACGGAATAAACGACAGAAATGATCTATTTAAGAATAAAAATTACATTGACGACAACAACGACCAAATGTAGATTCAACTTAGCACGGCCCCTGCTATAGTTTCAATATTAAGACATTATTGAAATATCAAACATCCGAAACAGTGGACAATATAATAGATGTTTCAACAGAGCACAGATTATTGACATCTTAATGAAAAGCGTATTAAACAATTGATCAATTATCGTGGCGGTGTGCGGTGTGCGGTGTGCGGTGTGCGGTGTGCGGTGTGCGGTGTGCGGGGCGCAG